CCAGGAGCAATCAAATTTTTATATTTTTGTGTAAATTGTTTGTTATTCATGCCAATTCACCTAGCAATACCAATCTGCCATTTGCAAAACCGAGAACATCCATTATAAGACCTAAACCCCGACACAGAATGTCTTCAGATAGACGTCCCTACAGAGACCGCCAATCAATAACCCCTCAGACTAGTGGGGGTGGTTCCTCTCAACCCTCAGGTTCTGTACCGTTGGGTAGAGGTCTCCAATATCTGTTGAAAATAATAAGGTTTGCAGTAAATGTCAAAATTAATGGTTTTTATTGGCAGGTAAATCGATTTACTTGATTATGGTACTTTTGTTAGTTGGTAGATTAAGTATAATTATTTATTGCATGCAATTACCGGTACTTTTAATTACAACTAAAATTATGACAATATTTCTTAATTATTGGAAAATCGAAACATTAATTAAAAGGATTACCATGAGAATATTGAAAAATAATGCTCCCTAATCATTTATAAATACAGTATGTCTATTAAATTAAGTTTATATGTACTTAAATAGTAATATCTGTTGTGATGTATATTACAAGAAAATATCATTTTATTAAGCATTTCAATGGCTGAACAACTCAGAGACTGTATTCGGTATAATTATGGTGATATTTATTTGGGCGATAAATATAGTAATCAAGTGCTCCTCATATTTATTTACAATGAGGTATTCATATCATATTTTAACATTTTATATAAAGTAAAGTCTATAGATATCTACATTAACATTTTAAATTTAATTTCCAGTATTTATGTGGGTTTGAAACCAATGTGTTAAAAGTGTTATCTAAGCAATTTAATATCACATTAAGATTATTAGATAAGACGAAAATTGATGAGGACCATGAACAATACTTTAAAGATAATCCCGTATAGTATTCAGTTATAGACATTTTATGATTTTGTAATTATGAATTATGTAAAAATGTTTGTAATTTTGTAAATTTGTAATATGAATTTAAAGTCTTATTTTAATCAATATTTATTTTGTTATGTATTATTTCCTCAAACTAATAAGGGACAGAAGTTATTGTTACCTCGGGACCTACATACTTATGAGACATAAAGTAACCATATTACTACTTATATTGGACCAGTATAATTCACGTAACGTCTGAGTATCGTGATTTATATCTGATATGTTCCGGATATTTGATATTAAAATTTGGATTTCAATCCTATGCTCAATATTGTTGACAGCATTGGTATTATTCATTAGTGGAAAATCAATTAAATATAAATCAAAACTATTTATTAATATATTATTTGACATATTCAGACATTTAGTGAACCAATCGTTGCTTAAAGTAGAATCTAATCCTAATTTAGTCACTAATTTGTGGTCATTTGCAGCCCTCATAAGTACCGGTACAAAAAGCCGACCTTAAGAGAGGAGATATGATTTACAGCTCGTTTTCCGGTAGTTAAGACAACTCCTCGATTACCTGTGGCTATACTTACGTAAGTAAAAGTTACCGAGACTTTAAACCGTAAAGTATGATAGGGAGATGACTGTACCAAACTCTACATTAGACTCATTAATACAACAAATAAAGCCTAAAATTATTACCACAATTGATGATCGGGATAATGTTGAGTATAGAATACAAATTGTACAAATGATATATTATTTACTATGAATATATCAATAGATCGACGTTTGGTCTCAAATAGGCGATAGAAAAGCAGTGTTACTGTCAACGGGAGAGACGATATTATATTTGAAACATTATTTTATGGATGTATTCAAATATAATGTAGACATTGGACAAGAAAAGTATTTCTTCACATATTTATGTCACCCAATCAACAATAATCGGACAGAAACTCGGATTAAAGTGTTTAACATGTAAGCTAATATTATGTAAATTTTATTCAACACCAGTTTTGAAAGTATTTTTTTATAATCAATGATTACTAGTGGTTATTATGATAATCATTATATTTTTAAAGCGCAAGAATTCTGGTGGAGTCTGGGGTCAGCTTTAGGTCCGCACAACGATCGGAAATAAGTTTAAATTCGTTGTCAAATAACGGGAACGACACCAAACAGATCGATGATTATGATAGGAAAGGACAGATTGATCGCAAAATTCAATTGAAATCCATTGAAGGCTTATTCAAAGGAGTTTTCATATCATTTGCATTCACTTTAGTACTGCTATTCATTGAAATGAATGTTCAATTTAATGATTTCAAATTTAAAGGTTTAAAATCACATTTCAAATTTGTTAACAAGGCACTTTAATATCATATAATAATTGAGATTTATTTAAAATTAATAAATTTAACAATTTATATATAATTTGATTGAATTAAACTTCATTTCAATATAATTTAGACGAAAACAATTTGAGACACAAATAAAAATTGAAATCATAATTCAAATGAATAATAATTGGTTTCATAATCTAATTGCGAGTTTAAGAGTAAATCCATCGGTTCTCCTCATGAATGGCGTCCACTTCCTCTTGAGTACATGTTTTTCGGCTGGAATTCTCTCCTCTATACTAAATGTCGAGCAAAAGGCCATCAATTCTGTTGAGGAGCTAATGGACACCGATATGAATGCATTCATTTTCAATGGCTCTGAAATTTGGCATTTTTATGATAGGAAGATAACTGAACCAAACTCTACATTAGACCCATTACTACAACAAATAATGCCTAAAATTATTACCACTGATGATGATCGGGATAATGTTGAGTATAGAATACAAATTGTATAAATCTAATTTGATTATCAATGAATATATCAATAGATCGACGTTTGGGCTCAAATAGGCGATAGAAAAGCAGTGTTACTGTCAACGGGACAGACGATATTATATTGGAAACATTATTTCATGAATGTATTGAAATATAATGTAGACATTGGACAAGAAAAGTATTTCTTCACATATTTATGTCACCCAATCAACAATAATCGGACAGAAACTCGGATTAAAGTGTTTAACGTGTAAACTAATATTATGTCAATTTTATTTAACGCCAGTTTTGAAAATATTTATTTATAATCAATGATTACTAGTGGTTATTATGATAATCATTATATTTTTAAAGCACAAGAATTCTGGTCGAGTCTGGGGTCAGCTTTAGGTCCGCACAACGATTGGAAATAAGTTTATATTTGTTGTCAAATAACGGGAACGACACCAAACAGATCGATGATTATGATAGGAAAGGACAGATTGATCGCAAAATTCAATTGAAATCCATTGAAGACTTATTCAAAGAAGTTTTCATATCATTTGCATTCACTTTAGTACTGCTATTCATTGAAATGAATGTTCAATTTAATGATTTCACATTTAAAGGTTTAAAATCGCATTTCAAATTTGTTAACAAGGCGAAAAAAACTGCACTTTAATATCATGTAATAATTGAGATTTATTTTAAATTAATAATTTAACAATTTATATATAATTTGATTGAATTAAACTTCATTTCAATATAATTTAGATGAAAACCATTTGAGACACAAATAAAAATTGAAATCATAATTCAAATGAATAATAATTGGTTTCATAATCTAATTGCGAGTTTAAGAGTAAATCCATCGGTTCTCCTCATGAATGGCGTCCACTTCCTCTTGAGTGAAGTCGTTAGTGATGTTCAGTATCTCCCGGACCTCTTCACACGACTTGCCTTTTATTTTACCGCAAATATGTTTACCGCAGACTTCGACCAATCCTTTGATGTCCAGATAATTGGCGGCAATCGTGATGTCGTAGAGGAGACCCAAGTCCTGGACATCGATGAACTGTTTGTCCCAATGAGACAACTCTTCGCTCCTGCGGTCGGCCTCTGTCTCGAAGTCCGGGTCGGGCTCGGGATCGTCCCAATGGTGTTCAACCCATTCAATGATCTTCTGGAGCGACTCGTTGGTGACGGCGTCGTTGCCCAACACTATCTCGTGGTCTTTGTTGATGTCGATGTTGGACATCATGGTCCTAATCACGTGCGACATCCTGGCGCCCACCAGTTTGCACACATAGACACCGCCCTCCGAGCTCTTCAGCTGCACCACAGAGTTCTCGTCGTCGTTGTTGTTTGCGTCCGACAGTGGGCTGTCTTGAGTCGATCTGCCCGTCCCTCCTGTCGACTTAGTGGTCGGTGTATTGCCAGCTCTGGATGAGGACTCTTGGGATGAGTTCTTTGGAGGAGACTTATGGGTCTCCATCTTTTCAATTGAGTTCATGGTATCAATCGATTAGTTGTTTCAAACGGTTTGGAGATCTTTGTGGTGACCGAAGGATAAGAGTGTTAAATGGTGTCAAATAGGATGTGTTGAAGCCGTTGATTAAGATATGTAGTGAAAAGTGACTATTATTTGAATATCACTTAACAATAATGAATAAGTTATTGATATCTCATTAAATTGATATTCATTATTCGTCTCATTGTATGCTATTCTTGAATACTCTGTATTATAAAGTTTGGGAAATATTTTAAGTAAAGGCCAATAAGTCTCAAGAATTTATTTTTGTAAAGTATACCTTTTACTTAACTTTTAAACACATTATAAAAATATACAACACATTACTTTTAATCAAATGACAGATCATATGAAATTAATTGTAAACTCTTGATTTGTGCATTTAAATTAATACTTTATTTTTCGTATCTTAATATTTATATTACAAATTAAATTTGCAATCACTTATAATATTAAAAATCGATAAAAATATTTATATATTTAATGTTAAAATCCATTTGAAAATAAAACTCATTTCTTAAAATAAAATAAATTATAAACTCTTTAAAACTCTTGTCTTTATGTGATTAGGGAAACAATAAAAAGACTTCATTTAGTAGTGGACTCTCCTTATAATCAACTAATATATGAGTTCTCATGCATTAAAAGCTGCAAAATATGTAATCAAATGTTAGTTTTGTTTTAATGTTTAAGATTATTGTATTTAAAAATTTATTTTAAAATTATGTTTAGATTATTATTACTCAATGAGGTTGTGCTCGATAGGACCTCTCGTGTAGGGCTGACCCCCATTGCGGACCCATTCGGTCTCGAACTCATGGACCAGTATCTCAGCCCCCCTTTTGGTGGTGAGTCGGGTCTCTTCTAAACTCAATTCACACATTTGCATATCATCTCGACCTATGATACCCGGGTTAGTTTGCAATCAATTAATTATCACATATTTAATCTCAAATTTCCAATAAGCGAGTCATACCTGCGATCAAAAGTATGGGCTGTTTCTCGGGATGTATTTCCATTTGTCTGGCAATCCATTGGCCGTCGAAGTGTGCGAACCACCAGCCCTTGTGTGCCGACGATGTGTTTGGCTTATTGAAGGGCATCCGGAAGTATCGCTGTTCGCCGGCGCTCTTATCCCCACCTCTGATGTTATAATTGAAAGTCTGGTCGAGAATACTGTCGGGCGCTCTCTGTTGGGGCCCTCCGTTCATCACTTTATTCTTATTGGCTCTCGATTTCCACGAGTGATACACTTTGAGCCGCCGGTGGAACTCCTCACGACACGCCTCCAAGAGCTCGATATCACAGGACGTGTTGATGGTGTCTCTCAGGTCAGAGTATTTCCATTTCTCTAAGTTGTACTTCTGGTTGGCCGCCGACTGCCTCTGCTCTAACACCTGTCCCACACAACCACACAAACCATTAGACATTATCCAACAAAAATGCTATACAAGAGGCAAGTCTTACGGCCGCAGATCTGGGAAGCATTGTGGGGGAGGACTGCCAGTCGTCGCTGACCGTCAACTCCGAGTCCTGCGCCAAACGGGCCGCCAGTTCGTAGTCCCGTCTCTCCTGTTCGATGCGCTTCATCTCCGCCTCCAGAAGACTCTCTTCCTTCAGTTTCCTCTCCCGTTCCGTTCGCATCTCTTTGGCCTCCCTTTCCGCCCGAGCCTGAGCCTCCAACCGGTTCCTCTCCTCCATCTCAGCCTTCTTTCGCTTATTCTCCTCCATCTCCTTAGCCTTCCTGTCCTCCTCTTCCCTCTGCTTTCTCTCCACTTCCATCTGTTGTTGAATCTTAAGCAGCCTTTCCTGTTCGGCTAACTTTCCTCTCAGGAGACCCACGTTCTCATTGATCGACGAATTCAATCGATTCACGTCCGCATCGATGTCTTTAGCGTTCATTTTAGTATCGCTTTTCAATTTAGCGATCAATTGATTCATATCAGTGTCCACTCGTCTGATGGTCTCATCGCACATCTGTTTGTCTGAATTAGACTTCAGTTGTTTTGACAGCTCTTCTAATTGTATTAAATGTTTTCGCAGTTGTTTTACTTGAATCAGTCCTTTATATCTAGTAATCAGAAAAAATTCATTAAAAAACTTCATCACAATTTACAAATACAATATATCAATATAAAGTACCTTGGTCTATATTTGTGAATAGCATTCAACATACGAATATTCTTCTGAATGAGAATAATCTGTTGTTTTCTGAATTGAATCTTATTTTTCACTGCAAAACAAAACGATATGACAGCGCCATTAATAATCAATATATGGGTTAAAATAGCTATCAGTTATATAGTGATTAAAAACACAATTCTAGAAAAGTGTCGAAAAAACAATAAACAACACTATATTCTGTGAATGAATCAATGAATCAAATGCACACATGTTTTACTACTAAACAAAACTTTTTTCAATTCCGCAAAATACACATACATTTGATGACAGATAGGGAACACCACTGAGCCTTCTTCCATCGGGAGGCCAACAGCCACTTCTGGACCTTTTTGACGAGTAGTGCCAAGTGATCAGGGTCCGATTTCATGATCTGATCGAATTCGGCGAACTTTCCCGGCCTGAAGAAGATCTTTGTGGCGCCGAAGCGGAAGTCATTTTCGTTGAGACCCAACGCCTTGAACAGCGCCCGACAGAAGAGCCGCGCGTCCAGTCGTGCCAACTCTGGCGGCAAAAGCTTGGCGTACATGGCATAGAGGTCGGCGAAGGCCGCCCGGGACGGGTAGCCCATCTGCATGAGCTCGAGCACGGAGGTCATGCCCGAGCACCGCAGTTGGGACAGTATGTGCGCGCCCTCGAACTGGTGGGCGACCATGTTTAGGTTGGGTTTGATGCATCGGATGAAGTGGGTGCCCGTCGACCGCAGTTTGGACATCAGCTCCGACAGCTGCGACCGGAACTTCCCGCCGACCGACTCGAACGTCAGTTTTCCGGCGCTTTTGGCCTTATTATTGAAGTTATTGTTTATAATTATGTTATTATTGTTTCCATTCTTCAGGCTCTTGTCGGCGCCGGATGTGAACAGCGACTTCAGTAACGGATTGCTGGCGTCGACCATAAGGGCCTCGAGGGAGGCGTGGAGGGCGTCGTTGTTCTTGTCGATGAAGGCCTGCGTCGAGTAGCAGACGGCGCCCGCGAAGTGTCTGATGAGGAAACCCTCGTCGTCGCGGATCTCCCGGTGACTCCGAAGCTTCGACTTCCGGGGAACGGCTAACCGGAAGTGATTGGTGTGCGACGAGTGCACGGTTTCCGTGAAGTGCACCGACGAGGGCTTCGGTAGTTTGGACTCCTCGTCGAGCAAATCAAAAATACCGGAACCCTTGCCTTCCAGCAAATCGATGCAGTCCTGGTTGTCGATGAAGTCAATCTTCTTGAGCCCCAACCCCTCCCTCTCGTAGATGGTCTGCTCCTCCTTCAGGATGCGTTCATTGAAGAATTGCTGCAACTTTTCGTTACAGTAATTGATGCAAAACTGTTCAAATGAGTTGCACTCGAAGTACTCGAAGCCGGCGATGTCTAAGACGCCGATATAGTTGGCGGACATCGAGAAGGGAATCGCTTTGTTGATGGTCTTGACGATGAAGTCGAAGAGCTTGGAGTACATGGCTTTGGCCAACGCGTCCCTCGCATTCTGGGCCTCGTATACCTTCAACGGTACCATATATATTGTACCCTAGTTTTCATTGATAGATAAAATTTTAATTAATAATCTTTTAATTAAATGCCAATAATATATAAATACACATTTAATTGATATAATTGAAGTGCATTTCATAAATCAAAGTCTTATTAAGTATAATTTAATACTTAATTAATGTATGCATTTAATGAGTTTTCCTGATTAGTATGGAAAAGACATGGAACCATTATCTGATTTATGCAATTAATTGATGAAATATTAGCTCAATTCAGATACAGTATAATAATTATGAATCGATTGTTGGTCTGTTTTATACGAGACTAAAGCCCGAAGGGTTTGTAATTTGATTGCATATAATGAATGTATAATTACTTTATGTCCTCCTTTGCTGGTTTGCATCACTCGAGACAATAAGCTTTGTTGCAATTGATCGCAATCCACACCAAGAAGTTCAGCTGCGGTTTCCAGCGATACCTTCGTGTCGGCCGTCACACGGGAACCACCTTTTCGGTACATATCAGTGAAAACAATGTATTTATATTTTCTATCATTAGTCAAACATTAGTTTTAAAAAATAAAAGTTTAGAAATTATAATACAGTAGTACAGTAGAGTGAATTACTGAGTAATTAAAACAAATTGAATGCAAAATATTTGTGTATTGTATGGATTTTACGATATAAATAGTATTATATTTCCTAAATAATCCGTAAAATGTAAAGAAAATTCAGACCACTTTGTGATGCCTTAGAATCTAAAAAAATAAATGAATAGAAAAAGAGTCAAATAATTCATTCATGCAATTAATCTCAATTATAAGTTTATTAAAATGTTTGTTTGTTAAGAAAATATTAGTTCATTAGCTTTGGAAACACAGAATGTTATTTTTGCTTGTTGTTAATGCAATGAATCATGGCTTGTTATGAGAAATTGTTATTAAAATAGTTTTTGTTTTATTAAAAATTTTATTTTTTAGAAAATTAGCAAAATTTGTTAATAAGTTAAGCTTTTTTAGAGACACAATCTGTTAATGAGTTTTCTCTTTTAATTAATGAAAATCACGAGAAATTTGGTGTTATTTTGCGAATGAACTGCGAATAAAGTTTTTAACATATTTGATTTGTAAAATAGTTTAGCAGTTAATCAATCACTTGATTGGTACGAAATGCATCACATTTAGCCAGGGGCTATTTCTAAATTCACACAATTTATACACATTTAGGATCATTTGAAAGGGAAATGGGAAACATTTAATTATTTAAAAACGTTATAAAATGTCAAATCTAGTCATACCTTTGGAGTCCTCAGCGCTGTCTTCAAAGGCAATATTTCCCAAATGAAGGACTGCGGCCACGATCTGATAGATGGCCAGTCGGTCGGCTTCGCTGACCCCGAAGTGGGCCAACGCATCGTCGGTCGCCTTAAAGTCTTTGATGTCGTCGACTATGGGATCGTTAAGCGAGCCCTCACTCACATGTTCAGCGGATTTGCGGTTCGCGTTCAGTTGAGTGTCCGACTGTTTTGAACTGAAATATTGAGTGCACCCTCTGTTCAGGTAATGAAATTTGTCCGGACATGAGAGCTTCAGTTTGGCGAATATGGGGGCCGGGAGTCCGGCGCACAGCTGATAGAAGATGTGGTAATTTCGTTCGCTTGAACTCTGGCCACATATCCGAGACTTTTCCAGCAAATAGTGGGAAATATATCCGCCGACCACTGAATGCTGTGTTAAATGACAATTGATTAATCAAAACTGTTGTATAATTTTTGGGTTTGCTTTTAGATTCTGTACTTTTTGGCTGAAAATTATCATATTTTCACATTTAAAGTAATATTCAGTACTTAATAATTGAAAATGTAGTTTTATTTCTGTCAACGTTTGAAAACCACTATGTTTTAAATTGATTTCCAAATATTTTCATTAATGTAAGTTTCTTGCTTATTTTTGATTTATACTTCAGAGTATTCTTTATTTAATAAAAGTTTTTCTAAAAGTACAGTACATTGAAAAAAATGCAACCTCACAAATTGTCAGACCGAGAATTGTGTGAAAGTTCTCATAAATTTAATTGAGTTTTAAAAGTTTCAGAAACAACTCTCAATTATATTTCGTAGGAAATGTTCATATTTGAAATACTATCTAAAAATGTAAATCTTATCTATGACTATGAATATTAAAAGTTTGTATTTTAATGAAAAATAAAGTTGTTTTCAAATCTTTGACTCTTTATAATGTACTTCAGATGCAAACTCTTTCATTAGATTTTCATTCATTTGAAATATGTTTTGTTATCATTCGTACAGAAATATTCATTAGAAGAGTATAATTATAGGGTTTACAGACTAATTATAATGTTTTGTGTACTATACAAAAAAGGTTCAATTTCATTATTTTTAAATGCAAAATATTTTGACAGTTAGGCCTGAAATGTGATTAAATTATAATATTTAAGACAACTGAAGTTTTCATTGAAATGAATTTAAATAACGTGAGTTCAAAAACTCTTTATGATTAAACAAATATACTGTAATACTGTAGATATAACTATTAGTGAAATAATGTGTATTACTGTATATTCATATCTTGTTTTAAAAATAAAGTTAAATACAAAATATACTTTATGTTTTATTTTTACTTATTGATTAGGCTAAATCTTAGCCTAAATTATATACTAATTTTATCTATAGATTTATTGCATTAGATTAAAATTAACGATAAAACATAGATTTGCATTTTAAACTATTGCAATATTTGTAATATACTGTATACCAGTATTTGAAACAAAAATAAAAATAGGAATATTTTCGCAATAAATATATTTTTGAATACATTTAAAGCTAATATTTAAATATGGTTTCGAAATACCTGTCACTATATTTTACACACAAATCTATAATAAATCATAAGACTTTCCAAATGTTATGACATTTTCTCACATGAATTTTGAGTTCATTTACACAATTGAAACAAGAACTCTAGCATAGAGTATATTATTAAACGTATAGACAATTAGTTATTGTTGTCAATCAGAAATGCAAACTTGGATTCAGTCGATGAGAAAAAGTGAAAGAAAAAACTATAACTCGAAAATCAGGTGAAAAAATCTTTTTCAACATCAAATAGACACCAATAGGGGTATGAGCGCAGACATACCCAACACATTGATATAGTGTACACAAAAAAATAATGAACAATAAATACCTTAGCATTGAAGTGAATCTCAATAAACTTCCCAAATCGTGAACTATTATTATTTCTCACAGTCTTTGCGTTACCAAAGGCTTCCAAAACGGGATTTGCTGTCAATTTTCAAACATTTATTAGATATTTAGCACAAAAAATATTATTATTATTATGAGAATAGAGTTTATATTCTTTAGAAAAGTGTTTTAAAATTCTAATGCATTGTAAAGAAAGTTCATTATATGCGAAGAATAATAAAAAATCAAATTCATTATAACATGAGATAATAGGATAGGAAATACTCATTACATATTAATATACTAATTTCTTAAATAATAGTTTAATTAAGTTTTAACACATGCTTTATATGTATACATGAAAGGCTTGATCTTAAGAAAGGTTTTCAATTATCCTTAAGAAACTGATTATAGGTATAGTTCTTGTTTTCATATGAATTTTTATTCAATACTAGCGATGCGTTTAATGACATTCATATTCACAGTGTGTTTATGAAGTGCAAAGGGTTTGTGAATCAGATCATCACAAAACACTTCACCATATAATACACATCAATATAAATCACTTTTCCATAAGTGTTTTGTAACGCATCGCTTCGTAATTGTCTTTTGAAACAAAATCTTCCTTATAATCCAATATTATTATGTAATGTCTGTTCATTTGCTAACTTTCAGTGAAATCTCTAGAAAAAAATTAACCAAAAGTAAGAAAAAACTCTTTTATTAATTCCAAACAATGAACACTTGCCACAAGATTACACTTTTAGTTTTTATGTTATTTTATTTTTGTTGTATTTTTTCAATTTGATATTTAAATTAGACATTTAATGCAATGCTTTGATTGTTTGATGGATGAGTTTTCACCTCTGGTTTGTAATACTTTGCATACAATTAGCGGTTTATTTATAAATTATTATACCGTATAATATACACTATTTATAAGGTGTCTAAAACCGCAATCAAATAAAATATATTCAAAAAATAAAATCTTTCTCTAATCAGGTCTATCCTCCAGTTCCTATTGTTCTCAAAGGTTTCCCAGAAAATTGTTATTTCAGTTTAAAACTTTCAATTCAATTGCTTTTCCAAGAATTCTAGTGTCTTATAATTATGTACCTGTACATTTCACAAATATTTCGCACCAATAGAATGTATTACCAAGTATTTTTAACCCTTTGATTATAAATATTTAAAATATATAGTGTAGTTCCTTATTTTTATAATATTTTTTAGTATTTTATTTTAATATTTATCTTAAAATATCTATTTTAAATAATCTACTATAAATTAGACTAATTGTTTTATTAAATTCACTTGGATTCACAAAACCTGGTCATCCCTCCATTTATATCCTGTTTTCATTCTGACTGATAGGCCGCCCCTTTATTATTGTGCAAAAAAGTAATTGACTTCAAATTATTTATTTTATTTCTACATTTTATATGAGAGTAAAACTATTGAATGGCATTAATGACACCAAAGATTGAAATCTTTTTCAACAATTAATTGAATGTTAAACTTATTTTGGCCAAACATTTGTGTATTTCTTATATGAATGCAAAAAGTTTTCCTTTAAGTAGTAATTATTTTTGAGTAAAACTTTTTTCCTACTATACATTAGCTATTTTGTATTCATTGTAAAAAATTGAAAATTCACAAAAAAAATCTATGTTATATTATATATTTAAATGTCCTAAAAATTATGTATGAAATATGTTATTATTTAGCATTTATTTAATGTCTGGGGCAAATATATTTTCAAAGTCATTCAATATAATAGATAAAATCTTTGTCAAACAAAAAACCTGAATAGACTTACGAGAAAAATATAAATGTATGCCTTTATTGGTTGGCATAATAAATGTCATTATTATTATGATTGCAAATGAGTCGCTATTTAGTTCAGTAATTGAATAATACAGTAATAAAAATATGTAACAATCAAAATGAAATACATTAATGCTATTCACAAAGCATTTTGTAAACTTATTTTTCCCATTCAATTACTACCAAAAAAGTATTTTGAACTCAATTTATAAATTATTTTTCTCCAATTTATTAGTACTTCTGCGAGTAATTCATAATTTGAATGCAAATATTGGCAATTATTACGAGTGATTATCATCGTTTTATTTAATAATGTATTAACATTGATTTTTATACAGGTTATTTAAAGCATTAAATGTAATCATCTCGTGTTTATTCCCTATAACCCAGTGATAAATATGCTATAAATGAGATTAAATGAGATGTCAATTGATATCATAATATAAGAAATCCTGTTTTTTCAAAATCAATTTAAACTTAATTATGAATTCAATGGAAAACTGCTTTTATATAAATATATGCTAGTGTATCATCTCATTGGGACAGTGGTTGTTGCTATTGTGTATAATTATTATACACTATTTGCGCAATGATTTCAATTCAAAAATGCCTAAAACCATTTAACAAATATTTAAATTTAAAATGAATTGATTTTTGAAAAGCGTAAAAATTATTCATCGCATTATATACATTATATATTTGTGCCAAACTATTCATTAAATAACACGAATCATGTGTTGAATTCATACACATATGATAGTTAAATACGAGTCCATCACATATCGGTGCAAATTAATAGGAGAAGCATTTAGAGACAAGCCTTGAATACATGTATCAAATTAAAGATAATTTCAAGTTTGGAAGTGTTTTCTCGTAATTGAGTTAAATGTTACACAAGAAAAATAATTGTGAACATAAACATAAGTGTTATATGAAAATATAGGCTATAAACCAAAATGACATTCAATTTACCGTCGAGTATAAGCTGCTCGATCTGTCCGGACTGCGAGCCCCACGACTCGCACAGGTATCTCAACACATATTTCGTGGACTCTGTCTTTCCGGCCCCACTCTCGCCGCTAACTATAATGGATTGGCTCTGTTTAGTGGCTCTCATATCACGAAACGCTTTGTCCGCTATTTATTAGACAAAATCACAAATATATATTAGTTTCGTGTAAATATAGTCACAAACTATTAAATGCCTATCAAATCATAACACATTAATCATGTTTTCATTCAGAAAATTCTTATATTATTTATTTTTCGTTTTTTTGTTATGAAATTGTTTTATGTGATATGCAAATTTATATTCTGATTATATTTATATTGAGATTAAACACAAATATTATATAATATAAATGTTGTTCAAAAAGTCGTGACAATTCCATACCGATTGCGAATACGTGTGGAGCCATTGTACCCAAAGATTTACCCTGATATGACTTAAGTGTTTTCGATGAATACAAGTCTTTCACTTCGAAATACGGGTTCACAGCTATCAGGATATTCGCCACATATGTCTGTATGTGTCAGATAAATATAACTATTAATACACACAACCGTATAATTGAATAAATATAAGACAAATCTATTTATTTTAAAACACTCATAATTAGAGCCGATATAAAAAATGTGTGATTCAAACGATTAGCACTTCGCTATAAATATCTAGATTTTTGAGTTAATCGTTTCGCTTTTTAAAATTGCAATCAATTTTCGCTATAATTAAATACTTATCCAGTTGTATACAAATAGTGTCTCTGAAATGGGAAATACTGCTCTCAAACTCTTAAAAAGTAAATATATTTCTTATTTGTTATCATTTTCTGATCTCTTATCGTAGGACACGAATGAAAAGTCGTTTCTAAAATTAAAACTTTTCTTATTTTGGGAAACTTTTTCATTTTTCTTTAATTTCAATTGAAATGTGAAGCAAACAAAAACAAAAGTTTCTCAAACAATGCTTACGTAAATCTTATCCTTTTTATATCTCAATCGTACGTTATTAAGAAGTGTTGCCTCATTCAGGTACATAAGAGCGCCTATAAATTAGGTCCAAATAAAACAAATTTTTTAATCAATCAATTCAATTAACGTTAAATTAATTATTATATATGAAAACGAGTTTGGCAGAATTGAAAATATAATTATCGTATTGTTTCTATAGATATACAGATTATGCATATATTTATTGTGAGAATCAATTGGCAAAGATTTTTGTCGTGTTATATGAAAAAAATCTTTTACTGATTTTTATATACATTTATATTTTATGAGTTTTTATATATGAGTTGCAATTCTGTCTGTCGACTGAAACAATGGACTTAATTCTCACTAAACAATAAATAATTATATATTTTAATGTTGTTTTCATATATAATTTTTTCTCTCATTTTTATAACGCTTTTCTATTCTCTATCAACAGTTGTCTTACAATTGTCTTCAACTTCTTTATTATCGTCCTCTTCGGCAGGAAATACCCCATCATATGTCGATTGGATTTGCTGTCCAAATGGATATATTTATGATTATAACACATATTATTAAACATATTTTTATTTCTAATGATAATTTTATTTATAAACTTATAATTGCGTGCAAATTGTGTATGTCATGTATTTTAGCGTTTGAATTAAGGTTTTCGGGTACAAGTGCTTTAAATAATAATAATAATCCTAATAACAAGGGCTAAAAATATGTTTTAATATTTTAAATACTGCTCCAAATATTTCTCTCAATTTAATGAAAGAGTTCGTGATTTTGAACATAATTTTCTTTCGTAATTAAATGTGTTGTTAATAATACCGGTAATTATCTATCGGTCGTTACATTACATCACATAATAAATATGAATTATGCTATTTCTGTGTGAATGCGTGGGGATAATGAATGGCAAACTAAATGGTAAAATAGTATATTGTATGCAACAAACCTTGTGATTGAAGGTCTGAACGGTGGGCCCGTTTGGCCCGATGTCCACAATGCGTCCCAAGACATAGCCATCGTTCACATCATTGGCCCACACTTTCTGAGATTCCATGACTTTCGCTGGGATTTCAGACTCCGGTGACTATTGTTTCACAACTAAAACACAAATAAATACATACTTTTTAAGCACACGATATCACAAATACACAATTCATAATAAATATTATTTAAATAAATCACTTTTCAAACAAATATATTTATATAATAATACATTATATGAAAACAATACGAAATTAATTGACAGAAAAAACTTTTCTCTCGTTTGTTCCCAAAAACAGGTAGACGTGAAGGACACGACTGATCGCTAAAAGTACTCAATATTTTTTGCGATACTATTACATGAATATTATTATTATTACTGATAACTGAATGGATGACTCATAAGAATTTAATTGCTTTTTCGTAAAGAATAATAATATACTGTATTATAAATTTATAATACCTGTATAACTTAGTATATCATATTATAAGAATATAATAAGTCGTGCACATACTTTGCCAATATTTATCCTAAAGGTGTGTTAATTATTTTAGACACATAACCACAATTAAAATGTTATATTAGAAATTAATTTAATGAATTCAACGCTTGATTTGGTAGACATTTAACACAGAAGTGACTGCATATGAAAGTATCATTAATACCTATTTTCTGCACAACTCGTTATATCAATATCACAGTAGTGTTAGTCATATAGAAAGTAAAATATAATATTATATAAAATGAAAAAACGTATGAAACAACAATTCATAGCCATTAAATGTCGTCAACCAAAAGAGGTGTAGTTTCTATGGAAAATAAATGACTAGTTTTTTGTCTCTTAATTCATGTGCAGTGGTATTAGACACTAAATATTGCTAACATGTTATCTGATAATTAAGATAAGACATTCCCATTTAATGCAATATTTTATATATAATTTGTTTTATTTCATTACACTTTCAGCTACTTATATAACATTACAATATGAGAAGTGCTATACATATCATGGCATATAACAAGTAGTTATAAAAATTGCGGTTCAGTTCGCGTATATAATGAGATTCAGTGTAAAGTGTTGTCAGTATCCGTAACTTTATATATATAAATATATAATTAAAAATTATTTAATAAAAAATATTATAATTTTGATTAAACATACGCCTTTTACAGAATAAATGGTATAATACACGTGTATATCAGATACCCAATAAGGAAAACAAATACATTTTTCCTATTCATTCAATTTATTGCACAAATAATTGTTTAAACCTTGAAATGATATAAAACTCTAGACTTTTGTAACATATTTTAATTATAAGTGTAATGGTATAAGGGAATTAAAAATAAAATAAATAAATACTCTGAAGCCACATAACATTTATCCAATGGATTGTGAGTATAATATTGAATTGAATGAGTATTTCCTTGATAATTATTTCATTGATAATTTCAAGATTATCAACAAATGGAGCAAAAACCTTAATTTTTATTTATACGGTATATATTTTGCGTTCATAATTAAATAAGCATTTCATATGTGTTTTGTCACTGATTTCAATGTTATTTCATAAGTAATAAAAATAGATTTACGACTCGATTGACAGATAACAGAGATTTTATATAATTATCTCAGCATTTGATTAGTGTTTAAATTTATACAACCATGTAAATCAAATGTAAAGCAAAATAAATATTTAACCAAAAGTCGGTAAAAGTAATTATAATTTTTGGAAATAAATTCTTTGCTTAATATCTGATGAAATGGTCTTTCAATTTAGTAAAACCTATTTTTAGGGCAAACAAACATTTATAGATTTTATGTTTACATACTGTTGAGCAAGTGAATAAATAATAAAGTGGATTGGTTATGGTAATGGCTAATTGTGTCCTAAATTTTAATTTTCAAACCTCTATAAATGTCTTAAAAACAACAAAAATAATCTTCTCTTGGGATACGAATCTTAACCGAAAAAACTGTTCATAAATCCTAAATCTTTTAACACATCATAAGTGGACCAAAAAGTTTTTTGACACAAAAATCCATGAGAGAGAGAGAGAGAGAGAGAG